CTCAGGCAATCCACTCACCTCAGCCTCCCAAAGGCGCGGGATAACAGGCTGAGCCACCGAGCCTGGCTCAGACATTGTTCTAAATGGCACATCTTTGATCTCAACAACTCTGCAACGTGGGTACTTCTATTGTCATTTGCATTTTAAGATTAAGCCATGATTCGAATCCAGGCAAATGGATGTCAGAGGTCATACTCCTTACCAATATATTATGCTGATGTTATAGTAAACTAGTAACTACAGTAGTTAAGCAAGCAGTATTTTATTCATAATCATTACTTAATAAGAACTCTATTTTTCTCAAATGGCTTGCCTTAAATTGTCTCTTAGTAAACACATCTAGATATCACTAGTGTTTGCAATAATATCACTTATTAATAGCTAATTAAAATTATAGTGAGACTAGCATTATTTCAGGATGAGAATGTGTTAAAAATGAACTCTATATACTGATATGCTTTAAAATCTATGATTCAAATTCATATAGGTGAAACACGAAGATTGTATAATTCAGGATAGTTGGTGATTTATAGAGGCATTTATGCTTTCACATTCAGATGATATATTATAAACAGAAGCTTTGATACTCTGTGAAGTGAGTAGAATTTTTTGTTTATTTTTACATACAATGATCCAAAGTGATATTATTTTCATTTATATTGAGGGCACCAACTAGATTGTTGAATTTTTCACATTCAGTCAAATACTAATTTTGTGTGTGTGATTACATATATACACACATGTACATAAAGCGATAATACCAATGAGTTATAACACTTTTCTCAAGAATAATTACGATTAAGTATAAGTTAATGGGTGAACTTTTGAGCTACACTATACATTGGGGAAATTTACAAAATATATTAAATAAAATGTATTTTATACTAATGTACCATAGCATTTTAGAAGATGTTTCAAAATTTCTAGGTTATAAGTTAAATGAGGACTGAAAAAAATAATTAGACTTTATGCCCCTGAAATACCACAAGTTGTAGACATTTTCTAAATGTATCTATTTTTTTCAGAGTTAATAACTGCAATATAATTCTTGTTGAAACTAATATTCATATATTGTATATATAAAGAAAACTATTTTCTTCTCAAATTAAAGGTAATAAATCTATGTGACAGGTTTATGAACATAAAGTCATCATTAATAGACATATAATCAAAGTGTCCCATATTCAGTGGTAAGAGTTTCTAAAAGCATGTTTTTTTACAGTATAATATCATCTAAAATTCTGCTTTTAAAAAAAAATTTCCTTTGAAAATTAACTTTACATACATCTATTAAATCAAAGACAAAAGGCCAAAAACATGACTTTTATATATAAATCCAACTTTTTACAATGTCTAAAAAATTCTTTTAGAACTAAATGATCAAAAAATTCAATATGATCCACAGGGTGAGGGAAGCAAGAGATATTGAATCACAGAACACAATTAAAATAAAAACTGATGCAGTTAATTTGAAAAATAATTTAATTTTGTTTATATCAAAAGAAGACATTTAAAGAAAGAAAAAAAATCAAATACACATTTTTGGGCAGTTCTTGTTGCTGGTATCCCACCCCCTATCTGTAAAAGAATGCTTATTGGCATTAGGTTCCATCAATTCATTTGTGATTTCTAAATTAATTCTGAAGGAAACCACAACTTACTTGAAGATCCCGCTGAGTGTCTGTGTGCCTGATCTTTTTTTTCTCTGTTCACAGACAAAGCACTTCCACTGGTCATGGAAAAAAGGTCTAAATCCGTGTCTTCTCTGCTTACAAGTCTTGCCTGGGAGCAATGGGAGAGAATGTATACAATCTTGAAACAAAATATGGCATTTTCTGAATGCAGCTCACATTACCCCAAATAAACAAACAGGCTCTGTCAAACAACCTTCTTCAAAATGATACCACAATCCTTTATTGCTGCCCAGGCAGAACAAATGCACTATGTCAAAGCATTTTTTGCAAATAAGAGCCGATTTTAAAATTGAGGGTTGCTATTTGAATCTGGACAACAAAAGAAAACATTTTAGTACAGTAATTTTGATGAAAATCAATCTCAAAGGCAGCTGATGAAACTTTAAACAGCTTAACATCACTTATTTACCAAGTATATTATTTAATTCTTAACTGAATGTTAGAAATGTCATATTGTATTACTTTCTGTAATATTTATATTTTACTTATATGTATTAGCCTTATTAATATAATTCCCTAAAATGTCTTTCATCCCATATTTGGGTACTACAAAGTCATGGATGATCTTTACCCTCCTATTACAACCATTATCGACATAAAAATATTATACATGACATATAATTTGGGGGTAATTGTAAATATATAGAAATTTCAAGACATTAAAGGGCATAAATATTAGATTATTCACTTTATCTCAAATTGTCTTTGAACTTTTATTACTACTTAGACTAAACTAAGAATCAAAAGAATTGCTTCTTACCTATAAAACACTGTTTTACACAATGTTGAATACTAAAGTAAAAATTTATCAGGACTCATCTATGAAATGAGGGGAAACGCCATGATAGAAAGAAAGCAAAGCAGCCTCAGAGTAGCTGGAATTTAACCAAAACCACAGTATGCTTGCAATTCTGTGAAAAAGCATTGTCCTTAATGTTTGATGTAAGGAAAATTTAAATACAGCAAAATAAAAGCATAAAACCACCACTGTGACTAAAAAGCTGTCTCCATATGGTGAGCTCCAAAGACTCAAAAAATCAGAATCTAAAAATGATCTTTCAGATTCTGATATCGGCCCTTCTCTTTCACATCCCTTTCTACGTTTTCACACTCATCACATACATGAACTTTATCTCTCTATCTTGATTTGGAGTTTTCCCAATTTATTTACATTTCTCCCAATTTATTTTTAATTGATAAACAAAAATTATGTATACTTATCATGTACCACTGTGAAATAGCTACGTTGAGTTAAAGAACATATTAATAATCTTATGTATGTATCATTTTTAAGTAAGCAAGTGTTGCTGTTGCTGACTCAATATAAACCACATTACAATGTCATTTTTTAATAAAACTGGCTAAGTGATTGTCAAAAAAACCTCACTAGAAAAGTAAAATAAATAAAAATTGGCTTTCAATTTACACTTGATTTGTATAAAAATGTATACATTCTTTTTGAAATAAAGTACATATCTAACATACCTATAAGAATAGCACCATCGATGGTAGGACTTAAAAATAAACAGTCAAGAATTAAGGGGAAATATCAGGCAATACCATAGTTTTGGTGAGACTACTTACATAATAAGGAAAAACATGATAACCACGTAAGGAACCTTCCTGCTGACTAAAGAGGCTGTAAGCATATAAACCACAGTGTTTAAAAGTGAGGTTTATTTATTCAATTTTAATGACATAACCATAGTGTTTAAAAATGAGGTTTATTTATTTAACTTCAGTGACATAATTTCACTATGCCTATTTAAAAAGCAGAAATCTCGCTCCCTCCCAATAAGATAATGCCTACATGCCAAGAAAATATTTATGAACAAATGCCTTCCAAAAATCTCATTACTACCAAAGTCATTATCATATCATCCAGAAGAGATTTCTTTCAAAATAGAAAACAACTAATGTCAGTTACTAATTTGGTCAGATATATACAAAATCAAATTTAGTAGTGAAATTAACAGGAACACACAATTTTACAATGGTGCCACTTAGCAGCTTAAATCAAAGAAATTTCATAAATGGGCTAATTAGATGTTTTTCAGTGCATCTGGCAAAGTCCAAACGCAATAATATTTAGATCCTACTTCTGAAAAAATAGATTTCAAATTGAACATCATTTTTCCTCGTTACTGATAATCAATAGACAAATTGTAAAGAAGATACATGTTTTCTTCTATATCATGCAAAATGCATACGCAATCATCCAGTATCAGCAGGGGCTTTGTTTCAGGACTTCCACAGACACTTAAAATCCATGAATGTTCAAGTCTCTCATACAAAATGAATTATTACTTCTATATAATCTATCCACATTTTCCCAAATAAAATCATCTCTAGATTACTTATGCTTAATTCAATGTAAATTCAATGTAAATAGTTGTTGTATTGCTGTTTATTTATATAACTTTTCATTGTTGTATTGTTATATTTATTTTGTTTAAATATTTTCAATCCATAATTGGTTGAATTCATGGGCGCAGAACTCATAGATATGGAGGGTTGACAAAAACTGAAGTTAACTGATCACACATTCAACATTTATTCTACAGAAAGATGTGCTGAATTCGAACACACCGTAATATTAAATGTTTTCTATGACAATAATGCAATAAACTTTTAAGTTCATATCAGATAAGAATTTTCTCACATACAATTCAAAAGTAAATATTTAGTAGACAGTAATTTTGCAAAATTATCTTAGGTCTTTGTTTTCTGAGCACATTTCTTTTACACCCCTACTACAAGGTTTGCAATTTCCCCCCCATATTTTCACATTGATATGAGTGCAAATTTTGAACTTTCCAAGCATTTGAACCCTGATCCACCATCAATTTTGGCAACTTAATTAAAATAGAGATTCTTTTTCATTTAATAAAGAAAAGGGATTTCTCCTTTTGCTTTTTTATATGTAATAATTAGTTCATTCATTTTAACCATTTGAAATACTTTTCAAATTATCGCAAAATGCAATAAACATATGACATCGTTATTTGCACTATGGCAAGATATATGAGTGATTTTAAAAGCTTACTCATTTCAGGGAAAAAATGTTAGTTATATATACCCCTCAATTCATAATTAATCATCATTTTTGTACAAACTTTCTTATATAATAAGGCAGATACATTGTTATATAAAGTATTAGTTTATGAGAAGGGAAGGCACTTTAAATGTTTTAAAGATATAAATTGTATGCAATGAAATGCAAAGACCTTGAACATAAAGTTCAATTATTTTCAAGTTTTTTATTTTGAAATGTTTAAAATTGAAACTTCCATAGAAGTTACAAAAAATTACAGTGTTCTCTGCACAGCCTACACTCAGTTTACCCCAATGAAGACACTTCACATTACCAATGTACGATTTAAAAAACCAGGAACATGACATTGGAAGAGTGCTATTAATAAACTGCAGACCTTATTATAAATTTATCTGAATTGACATATAATAATTTTTCATAGAAATTCATATAACTACAGAATACAGACCTTTCCCATCTTCAAAAGAAACTCTCTTGCTTTCCTTTATAGTCACACACTCTCCACAGCCTAACCACTGGCAACTAAACATGAGTCCTCTGTCAATGTGATTATGTGAATAAGAGCAAGTTAAATGAATGAAATCACAAAACATCTAACCTGTTGATACAGGCCATTTTTTCTCAACATAATATGCGTGTGTTCCATGGAAATCTTTGAATGTATCAATAATTTTCTCATTTATTGCTTTTTGTTCCTGATTATTGCATATCCATTGTATATATATATCATCAATTGCTTACCCTTTCACCTATTGAACGAGATTTAGGTTGTGAAACATTTGAGCTATTACAAATAAAACTGCTATGAACATTTATGTACAGATTTTTGTTTGGATGAAAATTCATTTCTCTAGGAAAAATGTTCAGGAGTAGAGTTGTTGGGTCATATATTAAGTGTATAATTTATAAGACAATTTTTTTTTTCTAGAGTGGCTGTACCATTTTCATCAGCATGCATGAATACTCATCAGCAATTGGTAATTTCAATTTTGTTTTAAATTTTAACCACGCTAATAGTTGTATAGTGGTATCACGTAGTAGTTTTCATTATTCCCCTATGTGAACATATTTTCATGTGCTTATAAAAGAAAGAGAATATGACTTTTCATTTTTTAAAATTTTCTGAATGATGCTTTACATTTAAACTACAATTTACTTTTTACCTTCTTTCCCCTTTTGGTTTATGCTTTTTATGTTCTATCTAAAAACTCTTTAGCCGGGGTTGGTGGCTCAGCCTGTAATCTTGCGCCTTGGGAGGCTGAGGTGAGTGGATTGCCTGAGCCCGAGGATTCGAGACCCGCCTGGGCAACTTGAGAGACCTTATCTCTACAATAAATCAAAATGAGCCGGGTGTGGTAGCGCACGCCTGTAGTTCCAGCTACTTGGAAGGCTGAGACAGAAGGATCGCCGGAGCCCAGCAGGTCGAGGCTGCGGTGGCCGGGAGGGGCCACTGCACTTCAGTCTGGGTGACAGAGTGAGACTCCAACTCAAAAAATAAATAAATAAAATAAAAACCCTTTGCCTAGTACAGGTTTGTCGAGATAGCTTACTATGCTTTCTTTATTAGTTTTATAATTTTAGTTTTTACATAAATCCATAATTTACCTTAAATTCATTTTTGGTAAGATATGAAGCAGAAGTCCAGTTTTTTTTTCTTTCATGTAGATATCTAGTTGTCCAGCACTATTTTTGGAAAAGGTCATCATTTCTCTCCTTGAATTGCTTTGATACTTTATAAAAATCAATTGACTTCATAAGTACAGGTATTTTTCTGGACTTCCTAAACTTTTCATTGATGGATTATTGTATCTTTATACATATAACAGACCGTCTTGACTAATGAGGCTTTACAGCAAGTCCTGAATTCAGGTAGCGTGAGTCTTACTACTTTTTTGAAGATTTCATTGGCTATACTAGGTCCCTTGTATTTCTGTCTACATACATTTTTAAATCAGCTTGTCTATCTCCATGAAAAAGCCTTCTGGAATTGCACTGAGTCTATAGAGCAATGTCAATTAGAAGAACTGACATCT